GCTTGAGCACACGGGGTTTCTGTGCTCCAGGGCAAATCCAGAACAGGACTATGTAAGTCCCCCAACAGGCCCAAACTCATTTAAAACAGAAGGGAAAAATCTCAGTTGGAACCTTAAATATAGTTAGCCTAGGTAACAGCAAGATGTCATTCACTGCTTTTCTGCCACGCTTGTTAAAGCTGCTTGTTGCATCTCACCTTATATTAAATCATAAGCTATTCAAAAAAGAGTCTTTGTCCTCTTGTGAAGGTGCAATTTACACAACAGAAAAGGACATTATGACAGTGTTTAATTATGTGACATTCATTAGAACTGGCTTATGTAAGCTATGAAATTAAAGCCAGGAGAGAGAATTGTGACCATCTAGATCATTTACTGTTTTTCCAGCAGGATGAAGGAACATGGGATGTCTAAAATGTCACAAAATGTCTGGTTCAGGGTTTCATGTCCTCAACTAGACGCTTCCACACAAAAACTGTTATGTGCACTGAGGCTTTGGGAAAGCTTCATGATATTTTCTTTTCTGCTTATATCCCATGTGCAGCATGAGAGGATTTAAAATGCCTGATAATAAACCACAAGCTGTATTGGGTTTGCATGACAAGGTTTTGGTAGCAGTGGGGGCTACATGGCTTCTGTTTCAAAGCAGTGGCAGCAGAAACATGATCTCATGCTGTTAGCTCAGCCCCTGTGACCGTATCAGTACAGATCTTACTTGATACACAGCCTTATTTTGGAAGAAATATGAAATCTAAAACACTTTAGCAACATAACCCCTATCTGCCAGTACATGAGATGATCCTGGCACTGACTGAGAAAAGAAAGGTATTTATATAATTCAGTGCAGGACTCATACTTACTACATGGAAGTTAAGCCCTGAGAAGCTATCAGATTCAGATAAATGTAATTTGTCAGAAGGTATGAAATAAATAAATGTGGGGTCAGCCTGATGGCAAGAGAAATAGATTAGCACTGAAGTCTGACTAAAGTGTCAAAGTAGGGGCCTGGGTCATGAGATCAATTCAGAAAATAACCTTGTCAGAGCTGCTGGATGCTTTAGCCACCCTTGAACCTGGAAGTCCCCTTCATGTTGAGACTCCCAGGGATACTCAGGTGCTCCAGCTTGAGCACACGGGGTTTCTGTGCTCCAGGGCAAATCCAGAACAGGACTATGTAAGTCCCCCAACAGGCCCAAACTCATTTAAAACAGAAGGGAAAAATCTCAGTTGGAACCTTAAATATAGTTAGCCTAGGTAACAGCAAGATGTCATTCACTGCTTTTCTGCCACGCTTGTTAAAGCTGCTTGTTGCATCTCACCTTATATTAAATCATAAGCTATTCAAAAAAGAGTCTTTGTCCTCTTGTGAAGGTGCAATTTACACAACAGAAAAGGACATTATGACAGTGTTTAATTATGTGACATTCATTAGAACTGGCTTATGTAAGCTATGAAATTAAAGCCAGGAGAGAGAATTGTGACCATCTAGATCATTTACTGTTTTTCCAGCAGGATGAAGGAACATGGGATGTCTAAAATGTCACAAAATGTCTGGTTCAGGGTTTCATGTCCTCAACTAGACGCTTCCACACAAAAACTGTTATGTGCACTGAGGCTTTGGGAAAGCTTCATGATATTTTCTTTTCTGCTTATATCCCATGTGCAGCATGAGAGGATTTAAAATGCCTGATAATAAACCACAAGCTGTATTGGGTTTGCATGACAAGGTTTTGGTAGCAGTGGGGGCTACAGGGGTGGCTTCTGTGAGAAGCTGCTAGAAGCTTCCCCTGTGTCCGATGGAGCCAGTGCCAACCGGCTCCAGGACAGACCCGCTGCTGGCCAAGGCCAAGCCAATCAGTGATGGTGGTAGTGCCTCTGTGGTAACATATTTAAGAAGGGGAAAAAGTTGCTGGACAGCAGCAACTGCAGCCAGAGAGAGCAGTGAGGATATGTGAGAGGAACAACTCTGCAGACACCAAGGGCAGTGAAGAAGGAGGGGGAGGAGGTGCTCCAGGCGCTGGAGCAGAGATTCCCCTGCAGCCCATGGTGAAGACCATGGTGAGGCAGGCTGTCCCCCTGCAGCCCATGGAGGTCCACAGTGGAGCAGATATCCAACTGCTGCCCACAGAGGACCCCATGCCAGAGCAGGTGGATGCCCAAAGGAGGCTGTGACCCCATGTGAAGCCCATGCTGCAGCAGGCTCCTGGCAGGACCTGTGGACCCGTGGAGAGAAGAGCCCACGCTGGAGCAGGTTTGCTGGCAGGCTTGTGACCCCGTGGGGGACCCACCCTGGAGCAGTCTGTTCCTGAAGGACTGCACCCCATGGAAAGGACCCACGCTGGAGCAGTTCGTGAAGAACTGCAGCCCCTGGGAAGGACCCACGTTGGAGAAGTTCATGGAGAACTGTCTCCCGTGGGAGGTACCCCACGCTGGAGTAGGGGAAGAGCATGAGGAGTCCTCCCCCTGAGGAGGAAGGAGCGGCAGAGACAATGTGTGATGAACTGACCGCAACCCCCACTCCCCATCCCCCTGGGCCACTGCAGGGGACGAGGTAGAGAAAATGGGGAGTGAAGTTAAGCCCGGGAAGAAGGGAGGAGTCGGGGGGAAGGTGTTTTAAGATTTGGTTTTATTTCTCATTATCCTACTCTGATTTGATTGGTAATAAATTAAATTAATTTTCCCCAAGTTCAGTCTTTTGCCCATAATGGTAATTCGTGAATGATCTCTCCCTGTCCTTACCTTGACCCATGAGCCTTTAGTTATATTTTCTCTCCCCTGTCCTGATAAGGAGGGAAGTGATAGAGCGGCTTTGGTGGGCACCTGGCGTCCAGCCAGGGTCAACACACCACACAAGCCAAAACCTTCTCAGCAGCAAGCTGAAGTAGTAACAGAGGGCTGTGAAAAGTCTTTGAAATTGGATTGCACCAGTTATGGGGAAAAGTAAGGGAAGCTGGTGTACACTGACAAAGATTGATGTACATATGGTAGACATGGTGATTAAGTCATCAGAGCTCTGAAACATCAACTCTTTTTTGTGTGGGGTTTACAAGAGGCTGTTGGTTTGCTTTTGTTTAAAGCCTTGGTTTGTTTAGGACAAACACTCACAAGAAAGGCTCAAACTGCTCCATCTCACAGAGAGCACTGTTTCATGACCCTGTTTGAAGTTACTTTGCCCAGGACTCCTTTAGCAACCAATGGAAGGTGAAAGAAAATTTGAAACTGAGATGGGAGGAAAACTCTTAGATGTATTTCAGTGCAGTAGGTAACGCTGGTTGGACAAAACTGGAAGCAGTGTGCCCATGATAGTCACCCACCCTCAATCATACAATGATGATGTTAGATGAAGGATCAGCACAGGATTTGGCCAACTCCCTGCTCAGATGAGTGTTCCCAGGAGAGCCTGCCTATCTGAGGAAGCCAGGATTTTTGTAAGTTAGAGTTTAGCAGCAAGAAAACACTTCAAATGCTATTAATGGAATGTAAGAATGAAGTTGCAAACATTAAGGTCCTCACAGATCATGGGGGAGACATCTAACTCTAGACTGAAATTTTAGCTGCTGAGAAAACAGGTGAAAACAGTCAAAAAGCTTTTTAAGCCACAGAAAAAATATTTCCTTGGTATCTGAAGGATTTTGCAAAAGGTCACTGAAACCCAGGATCTTCCAGACGAAATATATCAGGCTCAACAATGCAGCATTTTAAAGAGAAGTGGTTTGTCTGTAAAGATCCAATCAGCTGTATTTGAAATACGGCATGGACACACCATAGACCTGCCTTCCAGTGTGCAGGAAGCATTTGATTCATAATTCTTAATGCCCTTTAAAAGCAGGCCTTCTGCAACAAATGCATGTGCAGAACTACCAGTTCTGTAGCACTGCCCTAGAGAGGACATGAACAGAACCAAGGCTGTAGCCTGCAGTGGTACATGTGAGTAGCAGAGAGGACTGGAATCCCAATTTCAGTGACAGGTGACTGGAGAAAACGGTTTATCAGTTTGGCTTTGGACTAACCTTAGGCTGTTAGCATTTACCATGGTTTGTTTTACTGGGAGTCCTTCTGAAAAAGTCTTTTTCTATCAACCGTATTTTCTTTCATCAGAAATTTTCCTGGAAGTCTGTCTGCTCCAGGTTCATCTTCAATGGTGTATTTGTTAGATGAAATTGAAACAGTAGCTGAAATTTAGGAAACCTATTCACCCCTGCCAATAACTGTGAAAATGCAATGAACATGCTGAAAAATACTATTGGCAAACAAAATTGAAAGTTGAATCTTGAGCTTCACTTCCCTAACTGGTTTATTTTTTCATAAAAAAATTATATTGCTCGTTTCTACTGGATAATCTACACCTTACATTTATGCATACACCATGAATCAAACCACATGGTAATAACTATTACTTCTGTATTTAGTAACTAGCTGTTACAAAGCAAGTTATAAGGCAGAGGCATCGATTCTGTCTCCACAATACAAGGCAGTACAATACTGAACCTGTTGAGGTATTACTTCCTCAGTGTGTTACCAGGTACACCTACCATGCAGATCTGAGTTTGGAAGTAGTAAAGCCACATTTGTGCAACAGAACAGCTCTGCTTATTGGGTGCAGTGGTGCCTGCAGGCCCAAACATGCAGCTCTACACTGTACTACCCCTTGTTTTGCGGTTGGCACTGGAAAAGATGGTTTAGGTCTATCCCAAACAATTAGTATCGATGTGACTTCAACAGCTTTTCTTAGTGTAATGTCTTCCCAGGAACTGGGCTAGTTACACTCGCAACCATTATCACCAGAGCTTTGCAAAAACTTCTGTGTGTAGAGGAGAACCACAGCCTTTGTGTATACACAAAAGGCACACCTGCATATGGCGGAACACCAGATTTTTCTCTCTAATTAATTAAAAACTTACAATTCAGTGACTTCTTGCCCTCATAGAGGTTTCTTATTTAAATGAGAAATGTAAATTTGACTTTTTATACAAGATATTAAAAAATTTGTAGCTTTGTACCTGTGTTATAAACAGGAACCCAGTGGTAGAATTCATTCTGGTAGGGAACTGTATCAAATTCACTGCACTGCATCTGACGAAAGGTTGGCAAGCCTTTGCGACAGGGGCTAATGTTACACATTCGATAGCGTTTCCTTTCTCCAGTGCAGTAGTCTCCTCCAAATTGTGGTCTAGAAAAGGAACATTGAGATTGGGACATGAGATTTTGGGTAAAAAATAGTTTTAAAAGAGCAATGTCTTTCAGGTTCCAATGGGATAACAAGGTGAATCTGAATCCTTGGCAAGGTAGAGATACTGTTCACATGTTCAAGTACCCAAACATGTCAGTATGGAGCACAGAGATCTAGACAAACCCTGTATCCCAAATAAGTGCTTGGTACATTGCCCAGCAGAGCTCACAACAAATTACCTTATCAAATTAACTCCCCCAAAATACCATATTTTCCAGAATGTTTGAGTTTTTCCAGAAAAGCCAAGTGATTTCTGCTGTTAGGCACCCTCTTAGTGATTTCTGAAAATGAGATGTAGGGTCTTCATTAACTCAGATATGTATTAGAAAATTCTGCCTTTCATGTTCTGTACCTATCAGCTCATGTGTCTGAAGCTTAAACAAAGCTGATGACTAGAACAAAACATGAAAGGAGAGTCCTTGATTTCCCTCAGGAACACATTGCTAGCTATTGTTCTCACCCAGTGTTTGAGGACATTTATTTATTCATGGCAGTATTATTAAAGCAACATTTCTGTTATTTCTGCAAAGCCTGAATGCTATATAATAGGATTTTTTTTCATTTTGTGTAGAAATAAGCTCCATGGAGGGTAAGGATTAAAGAATGAGATGACAATTGTAAAAGGTGAGCCAACTGAATTTCACATGAGTATGCTTAACTGGAAAGAAGGGGTGTTCAGCGCCTGTCTTGCTGTAGCACCCGCTGATGACAGTCTCATACAAAAGAGTTTCCAATGTTATAAGTACCTCAAAGATCTTGAATAAAAGGTAAGAAAAGATTGTGCACTCAGCTTACTCTGGGTTATCACATGGTCTCTCTGCACTCTGAACTCCTGCCCCACATGTCCTTGTGCAATGGGACCAGGATGACCAAATGCCCCATCCGCCATGGATTGCTTCGGGAGTCTTGCCTACTGTAATGCACTCACCAGAGAAGCACCACTGCAGAGAGAAGAGAAAGGACAAACAGCTTAAGGTCATTGTCACAGGAAAATGTTATTGTGAATTTTTTGTTATTTCAGTCTCTGAAGGTTGAAAACTTAAGTGGAAATTTAAATGGAGATGTCACAGGATGCCCCTCCTTCACACTAAACAATGGTAGAGCTACCCATGGTTCCTCCACCGCCCTTTTGCAGGGCGCCCTGCAGAGCTTTCAGCTCTGCACAGCTCACAGTCACCTTGTTTTCTCCACACCGAGTTCCATCCGCAGCTGCATCCAGTTTGGAGCGGCAGGAGCCTTTCACCGAGCACCAGAGTGTTTGGCAAAGGTTCTGGAAAAGAAAGAAAACTGCAGCAATCTGAAGCAGAGGTGAACTCCTACAGCCAAGATTTTCAAGTCTCCCATGGTTTTGTACATCCATTTACAAAGCTGTATAAGGGCTGTATTTCCAGAGGCAGCTGTTCAGGGTTTTCCACAAGTTAGGACCACCAAGGGTCCAAATTTAGGTACTCCTCACTAGTGGACAAGGAGGGACTATTTGACAAATACAAAACAGTGAATACTTTATATCAAGTGAATTACCTGAACTATGTGAGTTTAAATATTCTCCTCATTGGCCTCTCAGCTCCCAGCTACACACAGGAAAAATGCCTTTACAAAGTTTGGGCACTACTGTTTATAGCGAAGGTGAGCAGAGTTTGTGTTCTTTTCATCTGATGAATACTAAATGAATACAATGTTCAGTTTTGCATTCCTGTCTGTCTGAAAACATACAGTGAAATCAAAGAAGGTTAGAGAAGCCAGCCAGGTAAGTAAAAACAACATCATGTCTCCAAGTACAACAGCCAGGTTAATATTCATGGAGGCCCCAAAACTGGATGAGGAAAAAGAGATCAAAACACAGGTCTCTTAAAACATCAGCCAAGCAGAGAGCAAGGGAATGATCTAAAAGAAGCAGTCCAGGCTAGCTGGCAGAGGAACAAACCTAGTGGGCTGGGTAGAGTAGGGACTCTGGTTAATGAATGCTTGCATATTAAGATACTTGGAAACTGGTGCCAGTTTAATGCAGTACATTGCCAGTAAAGTACAGCATTTCAGCTGCTGCTCCACGTGCAGTGGTCAACTCCACAGAAGGGATGGAAACTCCTGAGAGCCAACAAAGCTAGCAGGGCAAGAAACATTGCAGCCACCTTATGACAAGTCTTGTTCACTCAATCAGAACTATTTTCTAGAGGGTTGAGGACAGACATTGAGGGCTATTGCCCCCTCCTCAGTTCACATGCACACCAGCTTCTCTTTTGGTTGACAGGCAGGAGCCCTGCATGCTTGGGAATTCCTGAACGAGCAGGGCTTTGTGTGGAAGACCACTCCAAGTTGGAGAAACCGGGGGTGTCAGAGAGACTGTGTACTCCCAACTGCAACAGCAGAAGCAAAAACCCAGGGGCTCTGGGCCAGGTCTTGGCTGAGGCTGTTTGAACTGCAGAGTTCAGCACTGGGAGAGGGAACAGAGCTGGCAGCACCCTGAAGGAGGGACAGCTGTAAGTGTCATCAGAGAAAGGAGCTGATAAGAAGGATCCCACTAGCAGCTCCCACTGCGATTCTCAGAGCAAACAACATGCCAGGTTTGGGACCCAATACAGAAGCTGGGCACTTGCAAAAATCCAGCCCCAATGAGCTAGCAGCAACATTTGGCCAAGTGTGAAATGCAAACTTGGCTGCTGGTTTCTGACCTGCTTCTATTTAAAATAGCTAAGGTTGGGCACAGTCTGTTTTGAGAGAGTTGCCTTTTATTTACTTTCTGCATTGTGTGTTCACCTTGGTTTTCATCTAGAACACCGGAAAGAAAGTTGGTAGTACAGAACATCTCAAAGCACTCCAAATCTCCTGTTGGAATACAATGTCTGGGACATTGCATCTTGGCTCATTTAGCTCCTTTTGGGCAATGTATACAAGTCAAAGGTTGTTTTGCAGTTCCGTATTTATAGTTCAAGAGTAGCATTACTTAGCAACTCTTTGTGAAACCATCATTGTCAGGTTCTTAAGGCAGAGCTACCCAAGTGTTCTGGCTGATGAATTTTCTTTCATTATGAAATTAATCCTTTATTTTAACTCTTGTATATAGAACATGTTCTGTGTTTTTTAGTGTATAAAGTGCAGTCCTGCACTGTGCTTCAGATACCAGAGAAAGGCACAGAAACTGAACACAGCTTTCCACTGACAGTTACATTTTTGTGAGGTGCACTTATAGATTTCAAAGTCAAGAGTTCACGGAGGAAATTCTTTAGCTTTGCAAGAATTTTTCCATATTGATGTCCACGTACTAGAGCTTTTTTCCATTTTCAAGAATACTGGAATAACAACAGTACAAGAAAAAGCACTGTTTACTGTGTGCTTTTGGAGGTAGCAGCCAGACATTCATTACTCTACCATGGATTCACTGCAAGGCAAGTGATTTTTATCATAAGCAATACAGTATACACTTTCCACCCAATCTATGAGATCAGAGTCTGTGCCTTAAAGAAAGTTGAATCCAAAGAAACCCAGTTTCACTGAAGTCAGTGGAAGTTTTGGAGATAAAGAGAGGGCAATAATATAAGGATTCTGAGCTCCTACAGCCTGTCCCATAGGAAGCTATGGATCTACCTACCACTTGGAAAATTCCTCCCCCTAATCTGTATTTTGCTTTTCTTTTCCTTATTAGAGGGACAATATTTATGTACTTTACAAGATGCTTAGAGGACTTACTACCTAAATGGTTCATGGAAACTACTATCTGAATTATAAACCTCAGTCTTCGCGAAGTGTAATCACTGAACCCTGGGGCATCTTCAGCTAAATGCAGATTCTTCCCCCAAAAAGAATCTGTGGATTGAATTCAGTCAGATGTTAAAAGTTACTGAACAAATGTAGCCTGGTCAGTGAGCGAGTATTAAGTAAATAGTGGAAAGGCAAAGAACAGTCAGACCTCTTAGACAAACTGACTATACTGATCATTCAACATGCCAGGCAGACTATACTATTCACAATTCCTTTCCTTGCCAGTGCAGCTACCTGCAAAACACAGGCCTTCCAGTAAAATGCAAAATGAGATGACAGTAATTAATTTTCTGACATACATCTAGCTGTAAAATTGGTTAATCAGGAGATGTCGAATGTAAAGGCCTACTAGGTTCAAACCCAAGGAGGGATAGAATGAACCAATACTGCAAAATTACACTTTAATTTTCTGTCTGTACCAACAGACAAATTACAGTTACTGAGGAAACTGGAACAGCAGGTAATGAAAGCAATCTTTCAATACCTGCTTCAGATTCAGTAGTTGCAGTTCAACATTGGTAATCATGTTATCTATTAAGGCTGAGAAGATTAATCAGAAATAATCTCCCTAACAGAACAGTAGATGAGGATTCATATAATTATCTGAATGGAATAAACAGTCAACATCAGCAGTCCCCAATCCACAGCTGTGCATAATACCTTGCCTAAAAAACACTCCAGCACTGCTGATAGCCATAACGCCACTTCTGCCACAGCTGTGTTTAACAGGGCAAGCAAGCTGGATGCTATTTGCAATGTCTGCTGCATAAATTCTGCCCAAAACACAGCGAAAATTAGTGATCACTTAGCTAGACTAGCACTTGAAACCACTGCTTCTGAACTGTTCTGTGTAGAAAAATGCTGTACAGAACCAAACAGCTCTGAACATGCTAGGTACAGTTAAAATACCATACCGCTGCACCTTAGCTAATATAACCTGTTACTCTGCAGTGGCTCCTAGATCTTGTAGATAGTTGTGCTGCTGTGACTATATTGCTCCCTTACATCTCCACACAACACTGTTTTGCTGTGCTGTGAGACAGACCCCAGGGTACTTTGTAAATTACACATTTCCACATAAAAATCTGGTGTTTGATGGGAAAATAAAGATTCTTCAAGGTATATGGACTGAACTTTCCTTTAATTAGTTAGACCATCAAGAGTGTGAAAAATCAGGACATGTGGGAAGAGAGCACAACCCTGATTTCTTCAGAAAACTTTTCCTGGAACTGAAGATTTGTTCCCAGAATGATTTGGTCAGTTGAAAGCTATAAGCTTGAAGCATCTTATTTTTTAAAATGGGATTTAAGCTGCATTAATAATTTACCTAAGATCAGTATTATACGCTTAAAACCAAAATTACTCCACTGCTGAAGGACAGGCATTTAACAATAGATATCAGGCCAGATCCAGAAAAAGTCTTGCAAAACACAAGGCGAACAGTGCAACACCTCACTTCTGGAATCTGCAGAGCGGAATTAAAAGAGTGTTAGGCAATGCCTGCACTGCACATCTAGCCTATGAGACTCTGAGCATGCTGCATTTGTAGTTAGCAACTGAGGTTCACTGACTGCACTTCCACACTGTTCAAGGAGCTTAAGTTCTTATTAGGAGAATGAAGGAAAACATACAGCACTTACATCCACATCTTCACAGAAAGTAGCATTGGAACCATACTGAAGCTGGCACTGGTGATGCACATCATAAATCACTCCAGGAGCAATGATTGGGGACTTTAAAACTTCTTTTTGGGGGATATCATCCAGACAGAATCCCCACCCGCGGCTAAAAGACAAAAATTGCACATTAAAAAAAACCCTAAACCCACACTTCTTTGACACTTCTATACAGACTTTCAATATCTAATTCTTAATGGTAATTTTGCATATGGCCTTTGGAAATAATACTTCCAGATTCCAGCTAAGTTATGCTGAAGTGCTGCTAACAAACAGCACTCCATCTAGTAAGGGAGGGTTTACAAAGGCAAAATATAGCTTGTCAAAGTAGAAATATCATGAGGTCATTATGGTTTGCAGAATGGCTTCAGAGCACTCCACAGCCTCTGGTTAAAGTTATACCGTATTGCTGCTCTTAAAAAGAACATAACGAATTTGAACAAGTCATTGAAGTCAAGCACATGTCATTGTGGCCAAAGGCAAGGTCTATGATGTTCCATCAGAGTCTTTGATGGAAAGGTTTCTTTCTTCCTGGTAGCTGCAGAAAGCTGCAGGTTGCATCAAACCTGAGCCAATATGACAAGACTCAAGTTCACTTCCAGAAAACAAGAATATAATGGAGCTTTTCCCAAATACTAAGTGAGTAATAAGCTTGGCGTATGCCCCTCCATGGGAATTAACTCAAGCATACTACAAAGACCTACATTTAGTAATATAATAATACAGGATTTACTTTAAACTCCACATAAACACCTATACACAGTTGTACTCATTTCAGAGAAATGCTACAACCTGATCACTCACTCTAGGAAACGTGTGATGTATTCCTTGCTGCACTGCGACCAGGTCAGTGGAGTAGGATCATATTGCAGCTGTCGGGACATAATATATGGGCGCTTTCCAACAGGCTCACAGTCATTCTCTTTTCCATCGTGCTGGATCCCAAAACTGGAGATAAAAAACAACATTTAATAATTCCAGCTGATTGGTTGTACCGCAACACCTACCTATGGGTTCCACACTGTGCTTAAAAAGACACTAAGGTTGCTTCGTCCCCTGGTGAGCTGTAGATACCTGTTTTCTAAAAAAAAAATATAGAAGACCTGACCCAAAACCTACAAAAAATCTACACTCCAACAGGCTTCCAAACATATCTGTTATGTACAGCGATATTGTCCTGCACAAAATAAAGAACAGACTGTCAGAGACTATACTCAAGGGTATTTTTAAGGGAGTCAAAACACTATTGCACAGTTGGGCCAGGAGTCACAGTTTAAACCTCAAAGTTATGTTAAAGCTGCTAAAGCTAAGAGAGCTTCCTAGCTCTTGGATCGCACTTATTTCAGACTTGTACCACTTTAACTAATGTCAGGCTTAGTGTAAGACTCTGTCTTTCACTCTCTTATAATCATGTCCCTATTGCTTGTTTCTTTTTAAATCTCTTTTGATAGATTGAAAGGCAGATATTGTTTTCAAAATTACTGAATATTCAGTGATTTCCCCCCCACCCTCCACTTCTTCCTCCTATTTAGCTTTCTCAAACTGTGCCTTACAAACAGATCTCCATAGCAGATCTTCCCAACATGGTTCTCTCCAGCTTCTCTGGCTTATTAAGAAATTTCTTTATTCAACAACTTGTAAAAGTCATAAACATAAAAAACTTTGGGAGGGATTCAACTGACTAAACATACATGCCTCCACTTCACCTCATTGCGAAGGAGATTATCTGAAATAATAATGTACAAAGATATTCATATATGAAGATGTTGACACCTACACTGTTAACATCTGAAGGTGTGTAAGCCCTTGTGTGAAAGAGCAGTGGAAACTGACTCAGGTCGTGACTCAGTCACGGATCAGACAAAATGAGTTCAAACCACTGAAGACTTTGTTTCTGGAAAATGTAATTTTACCATGACTCAAGTGTTCCAAAAGCAGGGCACGATTTCAGTCAGAATCAACTCCAGTAATGGGTCTGAGGCATAAAAGCAAGTGTGTCCCCTTGCCAACAGGCTCTTTTCCATTAACAAGGTCTATTGACACAGGAGGCTGTGAACATCTAAAGGGACAGTATGGGGAAGAGTTGACTTTTGGCATTCATCTAAGGAATGGGTGCATGGCTTTCTCCTCATTTTTTGTTCATCTGTTCTTACAGACATTTATTGTCCATACTTGAACTTTTTAACATACGTACTCTAACTTGGCTTGAGGGAAGGATGGTTTCATGTTAACAACAAACCCTACAGTATTCAATTTTCTTTGTGGAGGCAATTCTTACAGGCAAGGCCCTGCACCACTCCTGCAAAGGCAAGTATGGCAGTACTCTGTCTCACAGCATCCAAAGGACAGTGAGTTACCAGCCACCCAGGCTAGACCAGGAGAAGGTCACACACAGCTCTATGGAGAAGTGGTGTTTTCTGATAATTAGTGTTAATGAAAAAAGCTCCCTGTCAGCAAGAGGTTGTGGGAAACAAGTAACTAAACCCAAAGCACCCAGATCCAATTATAATTATTCAGCATTATTTTCATATACTATTTCCTTTCTGGCAATTGAGGGGTTGAATAAAGAAAGGCCAATTAATGGGTGATAGGATCAATACTTGAGTAATCTTTGTATCAGATTATATTATTATTATATCCCATCAGGAAATACAGACTTCATCCTGACTGGTGGTTGGGTGCATAATGAAAGTAATGTGATTGCAGATACAACAGTGAACATGTCACCTAGCCAAGCAACATGGTCTATCTGAAAAGTGCAGGCATTATAACCAAACCAGAGTATCCATGAGATAGGCCTCTACCCTGGGGAAAACAGCCCAGTGTCAAAACAGATTCGAAAATCAGATTTTTTTCAGGTGAGTTCAATAAACCAAGTAACCAGCCAAAACACCCTTAGAAATTGGAAATACTGAGAAATCTAGTTTCAAGCAAAAATACCCAATCATAAGAAAAGTTTAGCTGTGTCCAAAACTAAATGCCCAGGAACTTTAGTTGACTTGACCTAAGTGTATCCACAATAGCAATATTAATATACAGAAGATACCAGTCATTAAGAAATGCCCAAAAGTTACTTTATTTGTTTGTCAGAAAGGAGAACAAAGATTTGATATTTCTGTGAAGTTTGACTGCTTGAATTAAAAATGGTTTCTGGCTAATCTGCAATATTGAAATACCTTGATATAATGAAACAGGTATGTTTTATGTAAATGATTTGGATTGATTTGGAGATCATCTAAAGTAATTGCACAGTAATTCAGTGTATCTTTGGAAAAATCAGCATGATTAAGTGATGCTTCTTTGTAGCTTAATTATTTCATCCTGATGTACTGCCCTAGCAGACTCTGTTAAAAGGGGCAGACTGAATAGTTGTAAATATAAACAAAGGTCAAAGGATTAAGAATCTCATTCTTATTCCTTTGCTTAGAAAAACAAACACAGTTTTGATTTTAATAATTCCTTTTTCTGTTTCTGTCTGACAATTTGAGTATCAACATACAAATAATAAATTAAACTCAGCTAGGTCCCCCCTTCACTTTCAACTATACCTGTGTCCAAGTTCATGAGCAATAGTGAAAGCCAACGGAAGGCCAGAATCTTCATTGATGTTACAGCTTCTGTGAGGTTGACACATGCCTGACAGATGAGACAAACCTAAGGTTTCACACGGACGATTCATGCCAGCACAAATGTCCTTTCTAGAATCACAAAAGAGACGTGCACAAAAGAGCTTAAAACCAACTGTAGAGTGTCACTTACATGGGGTGGTAAGTCTCCATCTTATAATGTATCAGTGCTAATTTGCATTTTAAGCAAAGCACCGTGTTAACATTTTTACAAACATATCTGTAACAAAAACATGCACTTGTTCTGCTACTATCATATTATACTGCTATAATTTGTAGCCAATATTTATGTTGCTGTAGTGCCTAAATATGTATGTTTACTGTCAAGTTGCATAAGAAAAAGTTTTAAAACCTCCACCTCTGACAGCATTTTGTGGTATGGTTTATTAAACTCACCATACCTCAGCTTCATTCAAGTGAACTCTTTGAAGCCTGTTTATTTGGAGAGGTAAACCATGCATCATTGTAAGAGTTCTTTTTCTCATTCTTATTTTACGATTTGTTGACTCTTTTCTTTACTGCACCATTTGAGGGATTTTTTTTGTGTTGTTTTTTTTCTGCCTGACAGACTTTAACTTAGGACTTTTTTTTGCAGACCTTAGGCCAAATTTTTTCTCTCATTTGTGTGCAGATTAGATCCATTTTTATGGACCTGTAGGAGTTCTGTTTCATGGCCTGCCACAAACTCCCTATGTAACCCCAGACATCACCTTTAAGTTTTCTGTGCCTCCCTTGCTCACATGTAAAAAAATATTTTGCATCCCCTTAAATATGCAGATAATATTTAAAAATCATACACTTTAAAGCTTAAAAATAAATGGTATTGTGTTTGCAACATACTCTTCCATTCTGAGCTGCACCTGTGTATTACTTTAGGATTTGTCATTATGGAGTTGTTAATCTACATGTTACATTGTTTTGGTACATTGCCTCAAAGAAGAATAGAGAAGTGATTGAGCACAAAATGAGATAAGATCAAGTCGGGGAAATTACCTGAGCTCTGCAAATTGCTAATCTCTCAGGACATACAGGTCTCAATTTCCTGACTAAGATGCATCTCTAATAAAACACCCACATGCATACATAAAGTGTTATATGTACTTCAAAAACAAATGAAAAACAATCCCTTTAAGAGTTACAGCAGGTCTAATTTTAACCATGTTTTTATAATATAGCTCATATTGTCTGCCTGTATGAGTGTCAGACACGCTCACACTAGGTTATTTTTGCATTAACGCTGTGCTTCAGAAACAGCATGACTTCATCAGACCCCTTTACTGGGTTCTACGCAGGATGAAGTAAATGATGGCATGAACCTATAAAAAAAATATCATCACCAAAAAAAACGCAACTAAACAATAGCCAGTCACAGCCGCTGGACTGCTGTCATACCTGGTTAGAAGGACGGCCACGTCATGGTGCGTAGGGTTGACGTCACTCTTGGGATTGACACTCTTCTGCCATTTGCAGAAGCTGGCTAGTGTCTTATCAGCATGGTGAACTATCTTCAAGCCTTGCTAATGGGAAATGTAGGAAAATACTATTGTAAACACCACAGTGCATTGCAATAACATGTCAGTGATGTTAGCTGTGAAGCTGGGTAATCTTTGAAATGCAATTGATTATGCTTTTGCCTAAAGCTAGAGCCATCATTAGGAGCAATGACATCTATTTATCTAACATATTGAATATTATGTTAAAATGTTGACATTTTTGTAATTGGTGCAGCTAAAGGAAAAATTAAATGCAGAAATGTACATATTTTTTGGTAAGTGAGCTTCACAAGATCCAACACTGAATTGAAACTTTCAAACAAACATTTTATATTCTCTTGAAAGCAAGTTTTCCTCTATAGAGGAGGTAAAGACTAATTAGTGGGGAACTTCATGCTCAAGTTTGTCACTCAATGTTATGTGAACAATATCATGCTCAGGGAACAATTACGCTTCTAAGGGTGTATTTATCTCTCAATATTTTTCAATTCCAAAGAGAAACAATGTGGTCACAGAAGTTTCTTCCTCATCTTATTATTATATAGTATACATGCAAGTTACTGAAATTTCTTGTCAAATACAAAGTATGCAAAATAAATTCATTCAGAAACATATTTTCTCATTTCTGGCCTGAGGCATTCGCTGTATCTTGTCTCAGTTTACTCTATTTAAGTAAAGTACACCTTTTACAAAACATCTAAATAACATTGTTACCAGATAGTAATTTCTGGGTAACTTAAAACCAAATTTTGAGAGATATCCAACACTGCTGCTTCTAACACTGCCATGCTCAACTGAACAGGAATCCATGGTTTATTATCAAAACAGCCACAGAAATTTAGCAAGTAAACTTAATTGGAGGTCACCATGGACTTCAGGTCCTAATTGTCCTGTTAAGATGCGAACTAGTTTTTGGCCTGCATATTCTTACACTGAGGGCTATAAGGATAGACTCTATCCTAATAATTATTTCAGAAGACATAGCGTGGCCGCATGGCTTGGTTCACTGCCTTCAATAGCATTGGGACCATCTGGCTTGTGGTTATAAATCATAAGCCACTGAGAAAATCCCCTTAATGTGTTCCTGCAGTCAGAGCAAGCTATGTCATGCACAGTGTTTTAAAAAGAACTATAAAATTATGGCAATCGGCATGTATTAAGCATGTAGCAATATATTTATGAATGAGAGACATTGGAAACTACCAATACACAGCTAGTTTACAGCAATTAGCATTTACTTAGTCCTCATTTTTTCATTTTGAAAGAGATCTAAAAAGAAAAATGTGTGTTTGAGCTGCACAATAACAGATTTACTTCTTCAGAGACCCACAAATACTCTAGCATTACATTTTATAATACATTTCAGATAATGCTAGGTAATTAAATTCTGAGACACGATGCATGATTTCTGTTTCTCATCTAGTCTTCCTTGACATCCCATGCTCTTTTGACACTGAGGAGATTCCATTTCCCCATTCCTAATTTGCCTGTTTTAATTACATTTTCCTTGGTGATTTTATGCAGAAATACCTGAAGTCATCAGCTAAATACTTTGCTATGCAGGGCAGCATTTATTCTAAAAACAGACATGCCAAAGATTAATAGAAGAGTAAAATGAACACATTTTTATGCAAATAAACCCTCCTCTCCATAATTATAGCTCAATGCATTGAACTCCCAAGATTTATAAGTGACATTTTGAGGAAAATAAAAACCTTACCTCCTCCTCCTCAAAGAGGATGAGCCGGACCAGCACAATGTGAATTGCGTTGCCAATGCTTGGATCGTGGAACAACCCTGTGACCTGTGCCAGAGCCAGGAGGTATGAGATTAACTGATTCCTCTATAGCAGAACAGGACTTTAGAGAGAAAATACGACATTTACTTCAAGCACACTGTTCATCTTGGTGTGTGGGTGTTGTTTTGTTTTTTTAAATCCTCAATGCACTTCATTGAAAGTTTACTGAAAGGCAATAAATGTTAGAACAACTGCAAAGGGCAGCTCTGCCAAATGAGTGATGATACAGGATTTGGCAAAAGTTATAAGCTAAAGACAAAAAGCATTCACAAGATTTTATGTCCATTTCCCTTTCAAGAACTTCAGAGTTCTTAAAAAACAATAGCAGAAAAGAACGCAACATCTAGAGTCACGTAACACTGACGGAGAGTTCCACTCAGGGTGCAAAAAAACCAGCATAGCAAATCATTCTGTTTTGATTTGATAGGAATCGCCTTCTGCCACAACAAAACAAAAATCAGTCAGTACTAGGCAAAAAGAAATCAGTTAAATGATGGATACTCTTGTGTTTTCACAACACAGAAGAGGATGATAAGAACAAAAGCAAAGACAACGAATCCATTAAAAAAAGAATCCACATAAAAAAAGAGCAAGAACTGAACTCAGCAAAAATTTGACCCAAATGTCATAAACGTCATCACAATGCTGAATTAGGCAGGAGGAAAGGGAATCAGAACAGAAGATAGTCATAACCTATCTATATGTGAGCTCTGCCACATTTCACAAGAAATATGAATGGACAAAATGGATTGTGTTTGGATCAAAACTGTTTTGGAGAAGATCATTAAAGAAGAAATTACCAAAATGAAGTTGAAATTGTGTTTACAAAGGTCTGATTTGGGTATGGGTCTTTTTCAAGTTATTAAGACTGAAAATTGAATCATTGTTAGTAACCCTAATATCTCAGGTACAGACCGCATAGAAAATGTTGTTTGTTTGTTCCTGAATCTGATCATGACAGGGTTTTATTCCCCATATTTTCCCTGTGTGGACAAAATCTCACGTGCTCAAATCAGCTTTGTGTCTGTTTAATCAGGCTCACTGCCTCAGTAGCGAGTCAGACTGCTCGGGGCACAGTTGGGAACATACTGTATAAACATAAGGGACAGATCGGTTACCATAGCTAGAATTGCACTGTAATTAATTTCACATATATTACACACGTACCATGATAACGACATAGAAGACATCCTCAATAGACTTTCCAAGGTCAATATCTACTATGATACAGATAATAGCAGAAGACATGTCTGTAGGCAGTCTCATGAAACACTATTGCTTTTCCCAGGTCAACTTACATTTTCAAACTTGCTACACAGGAAGACATTGAAAGTTAATTTTTTTTTTTTTTTCATCATGTACTTTGTATTATAGGCAGGATACTTATCTGGAAAACAGTTGTACTGCTTTTAACTGGGACAGAGTTAACTTTCTTCGTAATAGCTCATATGGTACTGTTTGGATTTGTGACCAAAACAGTAACGCACTGATATTTTAGATCTTGCTAAGTTACTACAATTTCCAGTGAGCTCCTGTGTGCCTTTCTCATCCGCAGACATGAGAAGGAATCCGTATGCTTAAAACTGTAGAATTTCTCTCTGTTGCTGTAGCTACCAAATTGAAATGACGAATGAGCAACAGGTTCCAGGGGACACGGGGAATTTCAGTGGAAATAAAATCAGTGCTAGCATTTATAGCTATGAAACATCTCTTGCTTAAAACCCAGAGAAAAATTACACCTATGCAAAATATGAGGTAAAAAATGCTTTAAAATACAGAGTTTCAATGAATATATATGAATGATATTACATTTCTTTCAGTGAACAATGTTACAGACTTGTTTCAAGGTGATCAGTGGCATAATCAAATTAAAATTTGCTTCGTTCATCTATCTAAAAAAAGGAAGTATTGTACATACCATATTCATTATAGTGAGGATATATGATTCCACATGGTCACTTCCATGATATTCAACCATCTTACTGTCTGCAACTACAAGTGTCTCCACCCATCGCTCCTTGCTGACAGAGCGCCGAGAAACCTTTCTGACAGCCATATGATTTTGTTCCCATCTCTCCCTCCAATGCTGCTGCTGTTTGAAAAAGCTGAGGGTATCTGGAAGAGTAAGAAGCAACGCTGACTTGGAAATATTTTCAAGCTTGATTTGAAGTGTATGGCTCTAACACTTGCAGACAGAATGGTAGCATCACAGAATCACAGGATAATACAGGTTGGAGGGGACTTGTGGCTGCCACCTACCTGACCCACAGCAGGGCCAACTCCAAAGTGACACCAGCCTGCTAAGGGCCCTGTCCGGTAAAGCTCTGAATACCCCCCTAGATGGATTAAACACGCATCCAAAAGTTACCCCATCTCAAACGCCAGGGATTAAGGTGCAAGACAGAGCCAAGCTAAAAAAATTGAATTGGGGATGCCATTTTCAAGGAATTTCTCTTCTGTGGTTTGGCTCAAAACTCTCTAATCACACCAGTTCATAGTTTAAGATAAGGGATACACTTTCTCCACAAGCAGCTCTTATCCTCAGCAGGATGGCATGTTAAACCCAGTGCTGTGGCACACCCATGAATGTTTTGTTCTGTGCATGGAAAATATCCCCAAAGAGTGGGGTCACTTCACCAGTAGGTTACATCTAAATACCAGCCAGGCAGATGGCCATGGGCTCCTCACTGCTGTCATGTCTGACTGACAGGCTAGACACTTACCATTTCCACTGTAATTTTGGGATCTGTGCATCTAAAGCCTTTCAGGAAGGAGTCTTTGCTCTGTAGAGCTGCTAGCAACTTTGGACTGCACTCAGTGGTGCTAATTACTCTCCACTCATTCTAGCTTTGAATGCCAGCTGACTGTGTTACCAGGGAAATATCTGGGCTGTAAACACCCCTAGGCCTGAAAAAGAAGTGAGAGATGCCAGTTTGACAGCAACTGGTGGCATTTTTCCAACCCAGAAGCCAGAGAAACACTTCTACAGCGCTGGGATTCCCCAAGTCCTAGAAAGGATCAGGAGCATTTGTTGCTATTATAGATACTGCAGTAGTCCGTTGGCATCTCACTCATGGAAGAGGATGTCCTTATTCCAGATACGACACATCCGCAGGCCAGAAAGACAGCTCCTGCCTCAAAGTGCTTATAGACTGTCCAGCATTACCCCACTACTGTGTGGCAGGGGACAGTTACCCAGCATTACCTCCACCTCCCAGCACTACTAAGTGTTGAGGGACAGTTACGTAGACAACTCTTCCCTTGGAGAATGGATGACCTGTCAGCTAGGTCCCAAATCTTGTGTTCACACCAGCATAAGATCTGTTACACCTTTGTCATGAATGCACTGTTTGCTCCTTAGAAGACCTAAGTGCAGCCAGAATGTATCATGGCATCTTCTGTGTCTATAAAATGTGGCACGATTGGACTATTAATGATGTGTATAATACATCTCTCAGCGTAAAAGGTGATTGATATCTTGGTTTATTGTATATGTGCAAAAGAAGATGCACAGGTTTTTAGAAATGGGTTCTCTGAGGTCAGTCTGAAAGATGCCTAGAGAAAAAAAAATGCTGGTACTGATAACACATTATGTGTAAAATCGAAATGTGCCACATTAATAATCAAAACTACAGCAGCCACATCACACATTCAGAACTGAGCCGCAGTGCACAAGTGTGCAGTACATAGCAGCTCCATTAGTTGACACACACTGTGACCAGTTAGCACTGCGTCACAGTACCAGTTCAGGATTTCAGCCAGCACCAGGCACATACCACCGAGAAGCACACAAACCTACAAACCTACCCCAGGCAGGTTCATTCTACTAGATGTAAACCTGTACCTCCCTGGACCACCTTTTAAAGGATACTGTACAAAGCTGAATTAATACACTATGCAGAATGTCATGTATTTTACATTGTAGAATATAATAAATAAATAAAAATAGTTGTAAGTAGATTTCTTTTTGCGTGAACTGGCGTTTGCATTTTAAAAGATGCTGAAAGTACTACTTGTGAAGGACAAAGAACCATAAGATTTTTGACCTGCTTGGCAAGGCAAATAGCATAAAAAAATAATTGACTGTAAGAGAAGTTTGAACAATTGTAAATAAATTCCAATAAACATGTAAGCTTATAATTTTTACTATCCATACACTGTCACAATAAAGAGCCCAAGAATATCAATTTCCTTTGTGATTACCAACCCAAATCACTTATCAGTGTCTTCCTATGCCCCCACACAAAGAGACTCTGTCCTGTAGCTATGTCAACTAGTAAAAAAAATTAGTCAATAAAGAAAGTTGCCTTCCCACCAAGCCAAGGGACTCAAAGAAAGGCATATGTTTTTGTATCTTAATCTTGAAGAATGAGCTGCATGGAAGAGTAGCTTCTTGTCTACATGGAAGAATATAATTTGTGAGTAAAGACAAAGAAGAGAAAGTGGGTGGTTTATTTGGTTTTATTTGTTTGGGGTTTGGGGGGTTTGTTTTAAGAGAAGGGAAATGGACTATCACTGCTATAACCTCTACCCTAACCCCACTAACCCAGGCTGCAGCATCACTCCTGCTGTCTCCCTCAATCTTTATTCAGTTACTGCAATAGTCACCTCTAGGAGGGGCTATTTATGAGCTGCGTTCATTAGTCTCTCTTGTATATTTGCATGGTTTTCAGCATTCTTTTTTCTATGAAGCGCAGTTCTCAGTATCTACATTTTTAAGAGGTTTGTGCTGAGAAAAACCTTCCCCACAGCTATCCGAACAAAAAATTCTGTTCAGACTGCTGGTTAAGTGATTTGTTTATGGCCAAATAAAACACTCACGCCAGCTGTCAGGCTTTGTATTCACATCTAGCAAAGAGTTTTGTTTATTGTCTAGGGAGGTGATAGCACTGGAGTTTAGAATTTTTAAAGCCATACAGACGGCAACAGTGAACAACCCTCAGGGAAAAGTCTGGAGTCCTGGTTAAGCGTGAGGCTATGTACCGCAGGAAAACCTCTGAAGAGATTAGAGTTGTGAAAAGAGGATTCTGCAGACAAAACTCTCTCCTCAGTGACCAATCCCCCCCCATGCAGGGACCTAACCTGGAAGGGTGTCATCTAAGGACTGGATCCCCACAGTGTTAAGTCCCCTGGCAGCTTTTTTAGTTAGATGAAGCAGAGAGGGAGAACAGCTTGGAGCTACACTAAGATACAAGCAGCTATAAAGTATTGTTCTACTTCTGCTTTTATGTCTCTCCGAATGATGATTGTCTCTTAAGCTTTTCATTCCGAAGTAAAATAATCTCACCTTGCTTTTACCTTAAATTAGCAAAGTGTTGCAAGTGATTTCAGATTTGCTGAGAAATCCCAGGCACCCTGCTGTCCAGGAATGGAAATCTTGACCAGGAGCCCACCAGTTCAGGAATACCCAAGAAGTGATGGATGGTCTGAGACCTAGTAACATACAGTACTGTCTGAGAAAAGCCTGCCTCCCCACATTCTTCCATCATAACTGCTGAGCACAGCACACTCCACAAGGAGCAGAAGAGAGAAAGGGGGTAATTGAACCCTGAGGGTTTCCATGTATTTTCGAGAAAGAGGTATAACATGGGTAGGTATAGTGTTGGAGTCCTTAGGAACAGAAGTGAAGGTAGTGCTGAAAGTATACCCAGGATAGTCTAAGACTAAATAAAAAGAAGGTTGGTAAGAAATTCAGCCAACAAACTGCATGAAATTCAAGCAGCAATACTCAGAAGTTTCTACCTGTTGTGGGAGATAATTTTGCAGATGTGAGGCTTTTATCAGAAAACCTGATTCAGCCAAACGAGTCACATACAATGTTCCACAAGTCATATGTGATATCCAGCCGTATCACTGCATAACCAGGAGAAATGTTGTGGATAACAACATTTTGTCAACTTCTAGTTAGAAATGGCTGATGAATTTCAGTAAAAAGGTTGGTTTTTAAAATCAAAATCCAAATTGTCTTTAGTCAAAAATAAAAATATCCCCTGAAACTATCCATACAAATCCTACTTGACTAATTCAACAACATATAGGACCCTTAACTCTCAGCTACAAGGAAAGATTTTAAGTTAACTGTAATTCTCAACTATATATGAAAAAACAGTATTATACAAACTTCTCCAGTACACGTTAAAGCTGCATGGCTTCTGCGTAGGAAAGAGAAGTTATATTCTCTCTTTTAGCAAATCAATTTCATTTTTCATTAGGTGACAACAGAACTATATCGTAATTTGCCAATCCTTATTAAGAAAGTGCTTGCTAATCTTTAAGAAGTAATATCAATAATCTCACTATAAAAAACATTTAAGTTCTTCTTCACTTTGAACAACTCATCCACTCAAAATATTGCTTGATTAGGGTTTTTTGTTAATTTCTGCTTTTTTCCCCCCAAACCTCCTTACAGAACAGACACGACTCACCTCACTTAAAGGCATTATGTGAGATTTCCATATCAAAGCCTTTTTTTCCGCCTTTGTTTCCTGCAGGTGTTGCTCAAGGAAGAATGCAGCATATGGTGCAACGCAAGGGGACCTCAAGGTGCTAACTGCACACAGCCACCTTTCAACACCTTTGGAGCTACACAGGGCTTTGAAGAAGCAAGGTGAAAATGTCTGGAAATTCCCAGAAGAGGAGAATGCATCCTACAAGTGAAAGCTGTCAGGCAAAAAATAGTAGTACTGACTTATATCTTCACTTTCTATCCTCATCTCCTTTCTCTTTGCGCAAAAGCTCTTTCATTTTTACCACCTTATATTATTCACAGTCAAAATGCTACATCTCCAGACATGAGGTATGAACAATGCTAGGGATGCTAGACTAATAAATCCCACGCTGTTCAGAACTTGCTACATTATGATTTTTCCTATAACCTTCACTTTGTCTTTGTTCTAAGATGTGCCTTTAGTTTAAGTATTAACAAAAAGACTATAGTTTTGGGGTGAGTTCTTCAAGAAGTCAATAAACTCAGTTGAACAGAGTCATTGTACAAGGGGAGTTAAATAAACATATGAAATCATCATTAACAACATTAACCTAGCACTAAAAAGTATCCATAAGTCCAACCATAGACTAAATAAAGGAAAGGCTGAGGAGTGACTCAGCTAATAAGA